TAGATTTGGGAATGTCTTTGAGCACATGAAAGCCTGTTACTGCGCAATGCGGCAATGGAGTAATCCAATAGCAGATGAGAAAATGGAACGACATGCTGTGCGACCGGATAATTTTGGCCTAATCTAGATCTACGTCACACAGCAAATCTGGTGTCTCTCATCGGAGTTGTCATAGGATTATAACTGAGCATTGTTTAATTGTGTTCGCCAGGAGGGTAGGGCGCCCGGCTAACAATCTCTAATCAGGAGCCAGAGAAGGAGGATGAGACGGTGGCTTATCTTCTGTGCTCATGGTTAGCTTTGGTCAGGGAAGGGGAAAATTCTTGGCTTACATTTCTTTTTGCGAATTACGGATCTGGAAAATCTAAATACCAGGCATCGAAACCGGTTTATAAAGAACTCGATTGGTTCTCATGACGGTGGCGGTATGGTGATCCAGCGGTGTCAAAATCATTGTTTGTGATAAATGAAGCTATTCATTCCAAATTTGAAGATTTTGGAAAAGGCTCCGACTTGATAATGATACCCGGCTGATTATATTTAATTTTCAAAAGGAATGAGATTCAACTGTGTTCGAGGAAAGATTTCTGTACGAAAATATCACAAAAAATCTTCCTCTTACATATGTCATTTCTGGACGAATTAAATACGATACATAAAATATGAACGTGTTTAATATGAATATGGAATATTGTAAAACATAACATAATATGTACAGTACAAACATAATATGTACAGTCGAAACTCCAATCATCAAATTGTGTCAAATCAAAAAATTGTATGCTGAAGAGGTTGTTAACATTAAAATGTTTTGTATTTACTGATTTCATTTTACAAAAACTGTTCCTTCTGCAATAGCAAAAAGAATATTCTGTTTATAGTGAAAAACGCAACAAAACAGTTCATGTTAAAAGAGTTTTATAAGAATTCGAATTATAGGGGTTTGACTGTATACCAAATAGCCAATAATTTTAATTCTTGCTTGTGGAATTGTTCCCATTTCTAGTGTTTGAAGTTTGAATTCAAAAATTTCTAAATAATATTACAAATATTTAGTTCAGGGAAATTCGAAAAGTATATCTGGTCTGCAAACATATAGTAGCAAACTCCTTATAGCAAAATACTAATGCATAAAATTCAAATTAATATTGATTTCTCTTATATTGTGCAACGTACCTTGATGTAAATTGTGCATCTAGCCTCATGGATATTCTATTAACCTGTGCATAACACATAAGGAGTTTTGAAATTTTAAATAAAAGATTTTCACAATTTATTCGATCTTATTGAAATTTTTTTTTTATCTTAAAACTCTTATTTAAAAATGCCCTTAAAAATTTTATTATCCTTGGACATTTTCCTTAATAAAAATTCATTTTCTCGAGAAGGAATTCAATACACAAACTTTAAATCAGACAACGATATTTTATGGCCTAACTTTTTATTACATTGTTGCATATTTTATATTTTGCAATAATTCTGTTTGCGTTTATTGTAACTAAGGTTCATTTTAAAAAAAAAAAAATTTTTTTTAAATTGAACAGATCAATTTAGATTTCAGCATACATTAAGTATTTTATTTCTTTTTTTTGCCTTTTTCTCTTTAGTATTGCAAATATACTTAATCCCTTAACAATTTTATATTTAATGTACGGACGATATATAAGAAATTTTTCTGATATTCCTTAATGTCGTAATATTGACTTAATTTTCATTATTTTTATAGTAGTATTGTACAAGTTTTTCTTTATTTTTTTATCTGTTATTCCTAAATAATGCCAGTTTCTGGAAATCGTAAACGATATTCTATAAGTAAAATGTACATACTCGTATGTATATAAAAAAAGAATGTAGGATTAACCTTTCAACAATAAATGAATTTTCTGTCGATCACGAAAAACACATCAATTTTATTTGATATGTTGTGTTGTTTGACGTTCTTCAAAATCGTGAATAATTTTTCCCTTTATTTTCATTTTATTTTTATTAAATGATTAAATTTAGTTCCCTTTTTTTTATATTTTCAGTATTGCAATGCAATAAGAATGGTATTGGTTACGTTTATGTAGAGATTCACTTTTATTGAATACGATTTTAACCCATAATTTTAGTGATTAAAAAACAGAAATGAGAACTATATTAATCGACTAACTTTAAAATTGTTTTTTTTTTCTTTTCTTTAAATTGGAAATCTATTAAGAAAAATTATTTTGCCAGTATGAGAATTTAAATATTTTATTGTTAGTATGCTTATGGGGAATAAATTTTGACTATTTTATAGGGAAAAGGAATACAATTTTAATATTGTTTAAGGCATCAGGAATACAACAAAATCCATGTACACATATTTTTGGTAATAATTATTTAAAATGTGCAAATTTTATAAAAGAAATAATCAAGTTGAGCTAACTAATAGATCTTGCAACTAAATTTTGGGAAAAATTTCTCATGTACAAAATGCTAAAATAGCGGATTCATTTCTCATGAAAATATTAATTTTTGTTGTAGCGTATTCAAAGGTCCCGATATTTGGTTCTGAAAATTTTCAAACAAATTTGCATTCTCCAAAAAAGTTAATCAAAAATTCAAGGAAAATCGTTTATTACATCTTAGATTAGTCAAAGAAAAATTTGATTTGTCTTGAATTGGTACTGCAAAATCTCAAGTTTCGGTTAGTTGAGATGGAAAAGTTTTCTAAACAGTTGATGATATAGAATCAAAACATTTTCACAAATATTATATTTGAGAAAAAAAATTGGACATATTATAAACTTTTACTTTTCAGTTGCTTGTATACAGTGACGTACTATGCGATATATATATATCACTAGATTGCCCACCGAAATTAAAAATTTCCGTTAGAGCACATGGAAGTTATTAATTTTTTGGCAATTCTATAAGCAAGAAGAACATCAAAAACTGAAAAATTCAGTGAGGTATAACAGATTGTATATGTTGCTAAATAATTTAAATAATATTGAATAAAATTTACGTTAAAAACATTTTTGCTTTTGTTTCTGATTAAAATTATGGCAACAAAAACCATTATTTGCAACTTACTTGCAACAAAACCCAACACTTGTACATAATTGCAACAAAACCCCACATTGGTTTTCTTAAATTACGTTTTTTGTTCAAAATGTCTTATTTATCTTTATTATTTCTTAACAGAAAGGCTTAAGCCCCTTTTTTTTACGAGTATAAATAATATAATTTGAAATATGAGTGCTGAATTACCCACAAAACATTTTTTCCATTTTACTCAAAATTTATTAATCTGCAAATGTATCAGTTTTGATTCTGCTATCTTCATATGATGAACAAGACATGAATGGAGTTCTCCGTGCCCCGGTCATAGAATCTCCATCGCTGCGTATTTGATCTGCCAATTTATTGTAAATATGAGTTAAATGGTCTGTGCCCTGCGACAAACCATGATAGAACTCTCAGTGAAGAGCGGCTATGCCTTACAATGTCAAGAATGCCCACGATCAGTAATATATGATATTTACTCATTTTCTTCTGAACATTTGGCGAGTAAAATAGCATTCCGCTGATTAGGCTCCTAATAAAAACATTACAAGATTTTTTTAAATTCTTGTTTTAATTCTTCTTATCTTGAAATAATTATGCAGGTACTGATTTAACACCTGTTGAATATTGGTAAATAAAATGTATGTACCTTTTGCCAAAATTACTAAATTAAATTCTGAGTACTATACTATACTCGGGCGTAGTCGTTATTACGAGATTGGAATTCAAGGTTTCTCTTTAAAGCGCATGTCCTCACTTTATATTTGGATATTTAGATACGTTTAACAATTGCATTACCTGATTATTACCGTAATATTTTCAATAAAAATAATTGAGTTGCTATAGGAACTTTGACATAGCAAAACAAATTTAATGTAGTTTTCGAATATAATTGGACATTAATATTATTGTAAGAACAATTAAAATTATTCAAAATATTTACAGTGAAAAATAAATTAAATAATAAAGTACAAATGATTTTGTGAAAAACAGGTTAAAAAAACATTGAAAATTCAATTAAAAATTTTTGTAAATATTATTTAAAAAGTGTTTTAAAAAATTAATTCTGAGTCCGTAATTGAAAATGGAATTTAATATTAATAAAAAATTATATTGAAAGTATTTGGTTAACTTAAAAATTTTATTAAATTTTCGTATTTACCTGAATTAATCAGGGATACGGAAAAATCTTTATTAATATTCTCAAAGAATGCATTAATTTCAAACAATACGGACATTAAAAATTTTTTATAAAAGAATAAAATTGGAATGCATTTTATTTCTGATTGAATGACTCAATTATTTCACTTGTGGGGACATATATACATATACATATGCATGTACATACCGATGTATATTAAAATAAACTTTGTACATACTTACATTTTTTATAAAATTCAATCCAAATAATTCTTATATACTTTACGATTATCCTTTTATATTTTACCGATATTTCAATAAAAATTTTAAAACTCTGTTGCACTATAAATTAAATTTAAAATTTTTGAATTGAATGTTAATAATTTTTAAAATTTTCTAATATTAAGTAATTCTAAATAGTACAAAACAGCCTATACATTCAAGTTTATTATTGTGAACTGATCTAAAATTAAAAGTTTTTCAATTTTTTTTTTTTTTAATTTAGATGTTGACTCATAAGAGTCTTTCATGTAAGGTCTTATATAGGTTATAATTAATTTTAGTAAAAAAAAGAAGAAAAAATAAAATGAAAAAAAAAATTTTTGTCTTTTTCATTGACTACAAAAAGGATAAAAGTGCAAGTTTTTGGCCAATATACAAAATACGGCATTAAAAAATTTTTCCTCTATTTAAGCAAAAAATATGAAAAACAGATGAACAAATCCTTGAAAAAAAATAATTTGTGAATGCAGTAGGTCTAGATAATTTTTCGTTTTTTTTTTTTTGTTAATAAAATGCAGATATATTTTCCATTCATAATACCCTATTGTATAATTATAATTAAATCGGTTTGAAATTTTTATTACTCCGGTGTATTAATTAGTGGAATTTTTATTTAAACTAGAATTGCTATAGAGTATAGAGTTTAGAGAGTGTCAACTCTGCGATACGCTTAGAAATGAATTATTTTAAGAATTTGTATAACAACTGTTACACCGTTTCTTCTTTATTTTAAAGTTTCTGATCGTCTATTTCGCTATTTTACTCGGAAAGTGAAAAGAAAGTGAGTAACTATCATATATTTGATGAATTTATATTTGATGACGAGTGAGAGGAATTATTCGATATTGTGTATTTTGTTCTTTTGCAAACTGTATACAAAAATTATTCACTTTGTTTTTGAACGTGAAGCGTTCTGTTGATTATTTTGAGAAAAAATGCAAAACTCCAATTGAAAATATAAGTAATTCTACTGGAAAAATGAAATATCTATTAGAAAAACGAAGAATTCTTATTTGAAAGTGAATAAAAGGTGAGTAAAAAAGCTAGATAGACGATTAGGCTGTAAATGTGTATTGAAATGAAAACATTTGTGCTAGTTTATGGCAGATATGGAATTTAGTAATTTCAATAAGTTTTATCAAATATAACATTCATAATAGTATATTGGGTTGTGCGAAATTTTAGTAAATTTTAGCTACTATAGTTTCCAGAATAACAAGAATTTTTGAATAATTATTATGCTTAGTATATTTCCTAGTACCTATTGAAAAGTTGAAACTATTAATATTTCTTGCCAAAGTTGAAATCGTAGTCAAATTTCAATTACCTATGAGTCTTAGTTCCGAAATCTTTATTTCCTTTCTGATACACTCCTTATTCGTTTACACCAATAGTTCAAATTGCACCTGTATGCTGCCGAATCATTATCTGTGGATTATTTAATTAATTTATAGATAACTGATTAAAAAATTGCATTTACCTTTTCCAGAATGTGATTATTTTTTCAAAATCTGGAACATGATCATTTGAAATTTTTATTCAAATGTATTAATTGTCTCTGACCACAAAAAATTTCAAATAATTTCTCTAACGTTGCGCATTCATATAACTTAAGACTTGCTTTTATTTTTTGTGATTTTTAAATTTTGTGCTTTCAAAATCAAAAATTGCGTTCCTTTATTGAAAAATTTAAAATTCGTTTCTCATTTCAATGTGATTATGTTCCAACTTATTGATTCAGAATATTTCAAATAAAAAGAAATTGTTTCCTTGTATCCTTAAGCATAACAACCCAATTTCTGTTTCTTATTTGTTTACCCTATTAAAATCTTTTGAATCCTACTTGATGTACTGAGTTATTCAATAAATATTTTAAATTTTTTATTTTAATATTAATTCAGCCCCAGTCGCTTTTTGAATATTTCAAATTGAAAGTGTTAATATCTTTAAATTTTTATTTTAAAATTTGCAAGTGAAATACAACTAGTTACAATTGATATTCTGTGTTGGTGATCGTAATTCAAAATTGTTCTGTTAAATAACCCTATTATAACGTTCTTCCATATTTTTGCATCTAATTTTTCATTTTAGTTATAAATTTTTTTTTTTGAATTACCAAATTATTATTAATGATTTGAATTATTCCAATATCATGGAATATTTTATCAACGTCAACCATCGACATTATTATAATCATTTAAAATCGTTGACTTAAAAAACCAATAACCATGTAATCATATATTATCAGTTTAAATACATAAATACATGATTATATATATAGTATGTACATATTATATTGTACGTGTATATTGGATGGCATATTATGACGGACTATAATATTTAAAATTAACATCAATGTTGCAAAAATTGCTGGTTTAGTTCCAATTATAATTTTACTCTTATTTTTTTCCCCCTTTCTTCAATAAACAAACCACTTGTTTGTAGAGATTTGAGAATGAAGAGTTCATCGTGTAAAATGGTATTGTAGACTATAATATGCAGAATTGCCTTAAAATTATTATGTGATTAATTTGTTACATTAACGAATGTTCCATACAATGTTATTCTTGAATTTTAAAATGAAAAAAAAAATAACGACATTTAAGTGTTTGTTAAGGATATTTTTTTAATAAGATGAAAGGGCAAGAGATACAAGGTAGTATAACATGAAACTAAAGCAGATTTTTCATCAAAAATGTAAAGAACAAAAAAAAAGTATGAGAAGCGATGCTAATTTTTAAGAACATTAATATTTTTTTTATGATCGAAAATTATCATTCTGCAGGTTTCAATAAAACGAGAAAAAAGAAAACAAAAAGTCCGACAATTTATCATTATTACATGTGTTTATTTATGCAGGATGGTATTTGAAAAAAAGGACAAAAAAAAACAATTGCGCTCAATGAAACAATGTTGTTTGTTTTAAAATTGTGTTCCTTCTCTGGCAATTTCCATTAAATGCAATGTTTTCAATTCTTTTAAAGGGTGCTAGTCATTTAAGAGTTATTTTTTTTCAAATTTTTAGAGCAATATTTTAAAATTAAAATTTTCAATTACCGAAAATTCTTCAAGAATTTTGCATCTTTCTAAATTTACATTGTTCTCTACCTATATCAAATAAATAATTGTACGGCTTAAAGTAGTCCTTTAATTTCTATTAACATGCAAACTATAGGTAATTTTCTCAATATTTTTTATTACATTAAAAATTACAAGTTAAATATTATGAATAAATTTGCCACTTTATATTAGAATTAATGAAATCTAATTGAAAACTGTAAAATATACAGCAGGATAATTTAATCGCACCCACCATATTTTTCACTCAATTTATTTTAATGATTAAAAATCACAACTTGCCTAAAAAATATTAGTGAAAATTAGGCATTATTAAAAATTACTTGTTTCCATTAAAGTATCTTAAAGTAAATATTTTATTTCTTTTTCCAATTTTCAAATTGATTATTTTGACATCAAAAATAGTCATAGGTTTTAAATAATTTTATTAACTTCACTTCGAATAAAATGAACTCGAAATTATCATCTATAAATGCATTAAATATCATTATCATTAAAAAATGAAAAAAAAAAAATGAAATTCACGAATTCATAATGCTCTCTTGATTAAAACGTTTTAGAAAACACCTACGCAAAAAAAAAATTGCAAAATATTTCGACAATAATACTTAAGAAAATAGATAAAGCATATACTATACAGCTTTTAAGTTAGCTGTGCAATTAAGTGTAATAACATTGGATTTTGAATATGAAATGTGCATACGAGTAAGAAATGTATGAGAGTGTATTAAAAGTGTTTGATTTCAAATAACAGAATGAAATAAGTATGATATTGTATTTAAAGTGGTGTTTGGTCCTATAAAGGCGAAGTTCTGTAAGGAAATGAAGAGCCTAACTGAAACCGAACTCTACAAATTATTTGAATTTATTAAAAGGATAGATATCAAGTGAGCGCTGTAGATGTGATAACTGGAAAGAGGAACATAACACATCTACTTCTTGGGCTAGTTTATTAATTAAAATGGAAGCGTAACCTTAATTTTACCTAACTTTAATTTTAATACAGCGGTTTTGTATTATCCTTTGTTAATTATTATTAATAAAAATGTCATTTTCACTGTTATTTCCTGTGTAGCGTGAATTATAAATTCTATACAAACTAAATGATTTCATAGAAAAAAGTTAGTATGTATACTCGTGCAGTGGCAAAAACTTTTTGTAATAATGCCATGTAATAAATTAAATGGCATTGAAAGATGTTCAGAAATACTCAGATTGCAGACGAATAATTATGTTCGAGGTAAATTTTATGCTTTGATGAATCCAATTGAGATCAATTCTATTAATTTACCATGAAATAGTTTTCGAAACACACATGGTATACATATTAATTTTAGATTTATACATTATCGAATGTATTAAATAGAGAAGACTGTAAGGTTTACGTTTTGAAAGCTTTACACTTCAATTTATCTATCCTATATAATAATTCACATTCTCCATCCAACTGAGCAACAGAAAAATGATATATTTAAATGAAGGAAAAGAGGACGTGTCAACGTAGCAAAACAAACAAGAAAAATATGTTTGATTCAACAAAATTGCTCTCGAACAAATTACTCAAAATTGCTCAAATATTTTTGTATAATCATACAAGTTGTACAATAGACGGACAATCTTACACAATAAATATGTTCTATAAATAAAATACATATAAAAAATTGATTTTTTTTTTATAAAATTTTAAATATAAAAATAAAACAAAAATAAAATACTTTTTCAATAATAAAGAAAACCAAAAAAACAAAAAAAAATTCCATCGAGAAAATACCATGACTTTCAGGCAAATTACTTTTCAGGAAATTTTTTCAACTGGCATCAAATGATCATTACAACAAAACAATAAGAATATAGCAAAAGATGAAGAGTCAGTAAACATCAACAACGATAACGACAACCACCACATTATAGTAAACAAAAAATTAAAAAAAAAACATAAAGGATACACAAAAAAATCAAAATACCATGAATATCGTGTGCATGCCATTAAATTGAAATTTCAATCGAAATGCAAATAAACATAAATTTTAAATTACAAAGTTAAAAAGAAAGAAACTAAAATATAAAGAACGCAGAAAGCAAGAGGAAAACACAAAGAAATAAATATAAAAAGAAAACAAGAAAAATGAAAATTAGATGGAGAAAATCAGCGACAAACGCTAATCATATATTGATCCAACTTTAAAAAGAATAACATTGAGCACAGCAACATTGTTGTTAATCCCATTTAGTAACCTTCAATTCAAATTCCATACACTTAAGAGGAATTTAATCGCGACTATGACAAAAGGTTTTCTTATATTCTTTGAGTCTCTTGTGCATTTAATAACATTATAAATTGAGGTAATAAGGCTAGCCGTCTTTAAGGTTATTTAAATATTTTCAATTGATTATATATTTTTCATTTTCTTCTTTATATTATGGAAAATAAAAGGGACACATTTTTTCTCTTCTTTCTTATTTAGGTAAAATATACATTAAGATCATTTCCGATATGGATTTGAAATATTTTCAAGCGATATCATTATTTCGTCGTAGAAATTACGAAAAATGTATTGAAGTTTGTAATGCATTGTTACAAAATTGTCCAAGTCAACAACTACAACAAGCAATATCTGGTGTTAATGTTAATAAAAATACTAACAGTAGCCAAAATGATTATAAAAAATCACAATTCTATTCAAATGCAAATAACAATGATAGTAAAAATCAATTATGGATGATTGAAGGTATTTGGCAATTAAAGATGAGAGCTGTAACACAAAGAATTTTCGTTGATGATTTAGAAACTATGGATGATAATAATATAGGTTTTTAAAATTTTATTTTATTATAAATAATCAACGAAAATTTTCGGAAAGGACTAAAATAATATTCTAATAAATTTCTATTGTTTTTTTTTTTTAGAAAATGTAGATATCGAATTTGAACGTATTGCAACTGCTGCAAGACCTGGAACTTCAATTAAAACAGCATTTATACATCGACCGAATACAAGAGGTTTAATATCATCATCAACTGCTGCAAGACCAAAAACACTTTCATCACGTCCAATAACTGGAATGGTTTGTATTATTTTGTATAAATTTTCAATGAAATCAAATAAATTTACGAAAACGAAAAATAGTCACGTCCCGGTACATCATCAAATCGACCCGGTTCAGCAATTAGTAGCCGTCCACCTACAAGAGCTGGTACTGCAAGACGTATACGTGTAACATCAGCTGCAGCTTATTCAATTGGTGATCCTACTTCAGCACTTTTTCAAGCATCACGTTTAAATCCAACAATTTATGCTGAACGTCCTGCAATTATTAAACCATTATTTCAATTTTTATTTTATCATGAAGGTGATCCACAAAAAGCATTAAGTTTATGTGAAGCTGTTGCTGAAGTTAATAAACAAAAAATTGATTGGTGGTGGGAACAACAACGTGGACGTTGTTATATTGCACTTAATCATCCAAGAAAAGCTGAAAATTTTTTAAATAAATCTTTGGGAATGTTACCACATCCTGATACATATTTACTATTATGTAAATTATTTATAAAATTAGATGAGCCAATGAAAGCCTTACAATTAATTGAAGGAGCTATCGAAAAAAGTCCTTATGATATTTCATTTAAAACACAACAGGCAAGAATTTATGAACTTTTAGACAAAATGGAAGATAGTATTAAAATTTATAGAAAAATAGCTGAATTAAATCCAATACATCCAGAAGCTTTAGCATGTATTGCTGTAAATTATTTTTATGATAATCAACCAGAGATGGCATTAATGTATTATAGGTAAATTAAGTTGCAAATAAAATGAATTTCTTGGAATTTAGAAATTAAAAATTTATACAAAATTTTGTCTCATCTACTAATACGGGATACATCTAATACAAGAGCGATTCTCTATTCTTAAATTATTCAATTCGTTGGAGAATTATAAATCATGCACAATTCAATAAGGTTTACTTTACAATCATTTTGAGATAATAAGAAAATTTAGAAAAAAAAACAACGTAATTTTTGACTTTAAAAGAAAACATAGAGTCAGTCAGCTCTGTCTATGATATTGTTCTAAAATTATGAAATATTACAATATGAAAGAACAAAATGAATTAAGAGCTTGAATAATATTTGTGCATATACTTATAGTTGTATATTGAAATTCTGCACAAACTTTCTTTAATATTAAACATTTCATCGTCAGTATTGGTTTTTTCATGAAGCTTGACAATAGAATATACTAAACTATTTAGTCGCGAGCAAACTTTGATTATTTATTTTGTGTTTCTTGTAAAATGACGATCTTTTTCGTTGCATGCTCACTCTAATTTGTCAAGACAGCTCTTGTTTGCCATTAGACTTAAATTCATACAAATTTCGTACTAAAAATCTTACAAATGGAAGTGATTTATTGAGTAAAATAAAATTAATAGGAAAATCTTATAAGAATCGTACATTCATTTAAACGATTTACGATTATATTTTAGTTTAAACATAGAAACGCAAATTATTGAAATATACTCTGCTCAACAAAGCAAATATGTTGTTATCCTCAAAACATTTTACATACAATCAATTTACTTAAAAAGGAAAATAGTTTCAAATCTTAACGTAAGCAATATTTTTAATTAAATGCAATATTTGTCAAAACGTAACATAATCATCATAAAAATCAATTTTACGATTTCATCGAAATTAAATGACATCTAAAATGAATTACTGTCCATTCCTGCAATAACAAAATCTATAAGTATAATTTACCCTTAAACAAGCTAGAAAAAACTAAACCTATTTTCTTCCATTTTTGTCTTTTTTTCGTTTTTTTTTGTAATTTTTTCTTATTTTCAGGCGAATTTTATCAATTGGTGTTCATAGCGCTGAATTATACTGCAACATTGGCCTGTGCTGCTTATATGGTGGTCAAATTGATTTAGTTTTACCATGTTTTCAGAGAGCACTTAGTTTAGCTAATGCACCTGAGCAAAGAGCTGATATTTGGTATAATTTAAGTTTTGTTGCATTGGTAAGTAAATCCTATCGCTTATACGATGGTTGTGAATTTCAATTTCAATTCATTTAGAATTATTTTTTAATTTAATTTCATTTAATTTCTTATATTCTATCATAATATTATTTTATAAATTCTGTTTCTTTTTCCATCATCTTCTTCATCTTATATACATAGATACGATTAATTTTAAGGTTGTTTATGTAGTTGTTTTCATAGTTTCTTCTCAAAGATCTAAATTAATATAAAAAAAGATAAATATAAATATTTTTATTTTTTTTTATTTTATTTCTGAATTTTCTTTAATTTATGCACTTAGTAATGTCAGGAAATTATCCAATTCAGTTTATATTCATTTTATCTAAAGAATTTAAAATTATGAATTATGTAGGCATTTACAGGTTAGGCCATCATAATAATCAAAGAAAATGAAATAAACAATATATTTTTTTATACATATTTTGTATATGTGTTGGTGCGTGCGTAGCTCGTTTTTTATTTTGGCATTTATTCTTAATACTATTAGTTATCCTTATCAAACGACTGATTCAATAAATTCGGATCAAACCAATGTTTTATAAAGTAGCGCATTTCTAAGTGCAAAATAATAGAACACCTTTTTTTTCTATTTTTAAAAAAAAGGTGTTCTATAATGCATGTGATTGATCTTTTAATGTTATATTATGCTATAATTATTGCATACTTTTAGGGTAACAAAAAATTTAATTTTTCCCATTTCAATCAACAAATTGTTAATTCACATAAAAACTGCGAAAGTAAAAATAAATATACTTTACCATAAATCCTTACTATAGTTTTGTACTCATTGAATGACAATAATTGTGCATAAAGTACTCAGTGAAGTTGATCTCTTCCAGATTTTGTGTTGGTAGTGACAAGACAAGATTTTTATATACACCTTTTTTCTGATATTATATACACAGTACCATACCATTGTTATAGATTTCCTAGGGTAGGTTTCGGGCCTGTGTTTACGATTAAGAAATACTAAAAATTTTGTTTATAAATTCAATTCTTCAAATAACATTATTTAAATTTCAAACAACATACATACATTAAATTAAAATTACGCCATTATCATGCATTAAATTAAAAATTATACATAAATAAATTAAATTAAAATTTAAACTAAATACTTCATACACCGTATTTATTTTATAGTTCAATGTATACCATATGAAAATAACATTCCTCCATTATTTAATGTAAAATATGTACTTATTAAAATGCGTGTGAAGAAAATATAGACAGACGAAAGTTATCAGTTGAACACTCAGTTTCATACGTTTTATTAAAATTACTGTTAATATCCGAAGATCTTTGCTTATTGACATAATAAATGTACCATATGAGTCTCGATTATTTAGAGAACAATTTTTACAATTAACTAGACTCGATGGCGAATTTTTATTATATTATATCTAAGGGATTATAAGAACATGGGAAAAATGTTGAATTACCATGACTTTAACGTAGACTTCTTCAACTGTATACAATACTGTTTTCGTTTTGTACATAGCTTTTATTTTTTTTTGTATACTACAATTCTTTACGATATGGTTACTCTGTTTATGATTGCATAAATATTTTCTTACAACATTGTTGGTCAATTTTCATATTTTCTTAATTTTTATTTTCCTGATTATAAAGCCTCTTCATTTAAAATTTTTTTTTAACTTCATATTCTTCTTATTATTTTTCTTATTAATATTAATTTTATATGTAATTATAAGTGTGTATATAAAATTTATGAATATTTTATTATAGACAACTGGAGATTTTCATTTAGCAAAACGTTGTTTACGATTATGCTTAAGTTCAGATAGTTCAAATGGTGCTGCCTTAAATAACTTGGCAGTTTTATCAGCACAATTTGGTGAATATCAGAAGGCTAAATCATATCTAATGGCTGGTAAAAGTACATTAATCGATTGTCCAGAAATTGAAAATAATTTGAAAATAATGGAAAAATATTAAAAAAAAAAAAAGAAAAATCTGAAAAACAAAAACTTTTTTTCTTTTCTTTTGCGAAATTTATAATGATTAAAAATTATTAGCTTTATTGTAATTGTAAATATGAAGATGAAAATATGAAAAATATTTTGTAATTTAATAAAAAATTAATAATAATGTAATTTATTAAATTGTGTAATAAAAGAGAAAATTGTAAAATAGCAATTGTTTATGGAAAACTTCAAAATTGAATGACAGGCTTTCTGCGGTGTGATAAATGCAATGTTTTGAATAGAGAAAAACAATAAAATATTAAATTACAGTTGCCAGCATATGCTTATATTTATATTTTATTATAAACATCAATAATAATAAATTAATGTGATGGATCGCGATGAAAACAGATTCAAAACTAATTTTTAACAACATGCATTAATGAAAATGTAAAATTTGATTTGGATGAAGAGCAAGCGATTCCCTTTGCTAGATTAGTCTGTCACAATCGATCATCACCATTAAAACCATCATGACTCATCACCATCAAAACCGTCATGATTCATCACCATCAAAATCAAAGTGATCGTTCAAATTCTGATTATAGCATAAAATCCAAATCAATGGAACTAAGTCACTATAGCTTATAAGAAACTGTATTAGAATGACTGTAATTGCGCACTATAATTTAAAGGAAGCTAAACAATAATTGAGCAATGAAATATCTTAATAAATTTTAAATGTTTTCTATTATTCAAACTAAATAAATTTATGAAAATTAAAATATTCGCGGAATATTGCCTAATATTGCTTCCTTATTTATGCAATTAAAATATCTTTTTTTATTACATCTAAAATTATTTTAATTAAATTTCTGAAATATATTTTTCCGTAAAATCACAAAAAGATTTTATATAGTTATTATATTACAACTTAACTTTTAAGATTTTTGAAATTTAAAATTTCCTTGAGCTGAATCTGACTGGAAGACGCTTGATATGTCACTTTAAAATTCAGTTTACAGGAACTTTATTACGTCACTTGAAAAATTTACTATTTTTGGAAAAACTAATGTTAAAACATGAAAGTTTTTTAAATATAACTTGGAAAACTCGAAATAAGGACTTCTTTCAGAATATCTGCATTGTCTTAGAATATTTTTCTAATTCTGTAATCATATAGCTTTTGATTTAAACAACACGTATAATATATTTGCGCACAAATTAATATTAAATAACAAATATACAGAATATTTTGGAATCTGTTGAGCTGTAAACAATGAACTCAACACAAAAGATTTATGTAATAAATTTATTTATAACGGACCATGTCATGGTATGTGACAAAACACTCAGTATAAAGTTAGCTCAGACGCGACCAACAAAGGCATAACTAAAAATAATTTTAGTCAGACAACATGGCGAAGTGGGCTTTAATCTCTACCAAAAAAAATATTTAAGACAATAACATAATTCAAAAATAAATATGCTTAACAACATGGTTCAAAACAAATGCCCCACTTACTGATAAATTAAATTCCAAAGATAAAGTTTTCAATTCTAAATTTACTTTTTTTGAATGTTTGTCTAACAAGTCACCGGAAAGTCATTTGAAAATTATTTTGTAATTTTTATTTTCTATGTATGTACATGCGTTTTCTACAATATGAAAATATGTTAAAGCTTTTCAACAATGCTTTAAAGTCTAAAAACATTTAATTTTATGCCATAAATAAAACATTAATGTAGATCACACCTTTTCCAGTCTATGGTATAATTTTAAAACAATTCTCAGGTGATTTTAATATATGAGTAATCAATATTGGCATTCCAATAACGTGATAGTTTAAAGAGAGAGATAGATTATAAAGCATTTTTGTGGCTTTTTTCAACTATTTTAATATTCTAAAGTTAAACAGAACAAAATAGATACAATCATTTGCACGTTTATTGTTTTTTCAGATTATGTGAGCAAATTGTTTTGCTTCATTTATAGTGGAATTTAAAAGTTTCCGGTGTTTCTTGTTTCTTTTCTTTGTTTTGATTGTGGGCGATTTCTTTGAAGAATTTTTTTTTTTAATAAACAATAATTAAACGTAAATCTTATATAAGTTTTTTTTTTTCTATTTGAATAAATTTGATTATTATTAATGAGTTATAAATGAATAAGACATGTGCCTATTTGAATAATTTAAAAAAATTAAATTATCTAACATTTTCAAATTAATTCTTGAATAGCAAACTAAAAGTATAATAAAAGGTAATATTCAATTTTAAAAGGTGTAATTAAAGTAATAAACTTAATTGGGCTTCCATTTGGAGAAAACTAGGCGATTAATATGTCCATATTTTTTATATTTGTTATAGCCAATATGATTAGCGAGTACGAGATCAAAATATTTTGCAATTAACCATAGTAGATTTTATGAGCGCCTTGACAGCATTTTTCAATACATAATCAAAGCAGTTATGCGATAGTGCCAAAATGGCTTAGCTGCAATTTAAAATAAATTATTGATGCAATTATATGCCAAAAATTTTTGTAACATTTGAAACATTTATGGTATATTTAAACACGTTTATAAAAAATTAATACATTTTTTTCTTTCATTTCAATGAATAGAAGTTATTCCCATAAAAAGAACAGGTATAATTCTTTATCAATCTCAACTTATGCAAAATGACAAAATATTTGATTTGTTTTTATTCAAAAAAGTTTTCCTTTTTAAAATACCCCAGAAATTTGAAATGAAAAAAATTAATTATTTCCGATTCTCAGGAGAAAATAAAATAAAAACTAACATACAAATTTGTAATTTTACATAAGTTATGCAAACAGACATTCGTATGTATCAAAAATCAAATAAGTAAAAACGTTTAATTATACCCAGCACCTTTTATTGTTTTATAACAATTACTCGAACCTCTGAAACTACTCTTTAGATTCACGGATACGTCTGACCTATTAGATTAGATACGTCTGAAATTAGATTTCCGAGTTGTATTGCAGCTACCCGAATTAATGTAGCCTTTCCATTAAAATTTTCAGAATGCTTAATGTATTAATTGGACATACCCATGCAAAATTTGATATTGTTTTTGAAAAATTTAACGAATTCAGAGAACCCGAACGCGTTCTCTGAATTCGTTCAATTAAAATAGCAGCCGTCCTTGGAAGGAAAGAAACAACTTGTAAAATTTTGGTGTCGATTGCATTATTCGTGCGATCAGACTGACGGATCAACGCAGAACTTTACGCTCAGAAAGAACATAAGAATATGCATTGTCATACCGAAGACTTCTTCAAGTGGTTACAAACTTCCTACCCAAGTTAATATGCTCTGCAGGGTATAAAAAACAAAAATTTTTTAAGAATGCAATTTTAAATTTTATCATGTTAAAATAAATTGGAAATATTTACATGCATAAAATATTTCTGCCAATACAAAAAAGGAAGTAAAATTAAATAATCATTAGAGATCTAAATATGGAGACGAGCATGAACATTACCATAAACATTAGTATCCGAATAAAATTGTCCAAAAAGCACTACTGAGATTAGTATATGCATTTTAAAATAATAAAATTTTACAAGCTTGGGTAATTTTTTTTAAACAAAATTTAAGAAAAGAATAATACCATATGCACAATTGTTGGTAATCAATTTGTCCATCGAGTCGGCTAATTTTATAGGATATCTGTAGAATTAATTAAATCTGTATGATTTCCTATATTATATTAGTTTGGTATCTAAAAATTGTCGTTATCTGGACGTTAAATTAAAATATAAATTAGAATAAAATTTCAGTATAAATAAACTAGTTTTTTCATGAAGATCTGAGATGTTGTCATCTATCTAAATTTCCAAAGGGAACCGTTTATGAGATGAAGAACAAACTTTTTCTTTTTAATATCATTTAAAAACCTAGATACTCATACTATAAGGTAATTGTATGTACAAATGTACATACATATACATGAATTTCTGATAATATCTTTTTAAAAAGCTTTACGGGATTAGAAGATTGTTATTCGAAACACGTATAACACTAATTTTCTTTATTGTATAATTTATAACTGATCGAGAATTGGTAATCTATTTAACATTGAATAACTGTGCCAGTTCTAATTAAAGTCCTGTCCACGAAAAAAAAATTCAGCCTACTAATTTACCAAATTGCGATTCCAAATTTCGTAACTTCAACTCTCGTTATTTTGGAAAAAAACAAATTTGCAAATTTTTTGATTATTAATTTGAAAATTTAAAACTCTTCAAACAATAGACTTACTAGTTTAGCTAGATTGAAAAAAAAGTTCTTTTCCGCGCCAAAATGTCTTATCGAATACCCATTCATATGCAAATGGGACTGCACAGAAAGTAGCGAAATTATTGTCACTAATTTAATCGATGGTCTAAAATTACCGCTGACGGTTTTTTCTGTTCCATGTGTGTGTATCATTATAAGCAAAATAATGAACTGTTTCTTTTGCCATTCCGCCGTTGTTCCCTGTTAACTCTTGTGTTTCAACTGCTTTACTCCAAACTTCTGAGTTAAATTTCTTTACTCCAATTCCTCGACTCCGAAGGCTCTGTTCATACTCTTCGACTTTGATTTCATTTTTCCGACTTAACCGTACTAAATTGTATACATTACAAACTGTCCCTATTTTAACTTTCAGTATTGATGAAAATCTCAATGAAATTAAACTAAAGAGAACGAAATTTCTCCAGATACGTCTTTCGCTTTAATAAATTTTTGACATTTAAAAATCAAAAAAAAAATAAAAAAACAAACAACGCGATTTGATTGTAAATTAAATTTTGACTTTACCTGTCATTTCCAGCTGCCAACAGCAATAAATTTGTTTTTTAAATATTTTCACACCATATTCAGAACTTGAGTTTCGTTATCGATCAAAAAAAAAAATGTTCGTCATAAAAGTTGAAATATTTTTCTTGGAAATTTTTAGAAAAACCAAAATTTGCTAATTTTGTCTATTTTTGATTTTTTTTTATTTTACCTCGTGTTTTTTGGATTGTTATCCATTTTAGATCCATTTTGGATACGAACAAATGTGTTTTTATTTTTTTTAGTGAACTATTTTTTCTCTCCATTCTAGTCGTTATT